TTTTGGGTGCACGGCTTATTCTGCGAATCTTATTCTGCGCATGCTGAAACCTTTCGCACCACACTATCGCGCCGTGGACGATCTCCATTCCCATCTTTTTCAATAAAGAAAAATCGAATTGCCCAGCACATTCGCTTTGAGATCGCGCTTGGAGGCGACTTGTTTGGTCGCCATTGAAGCGAATGGGCCAAGCCCATGGGCAATGCGATTTTTCTCCGCTGAGACGACAACACGGCGATGCCAATGTTATCCGCATGCTCATTCTTCGTTGTTTCAGATCATGTTAGTTCACTCACGGTACGGGCGCGTGAGTGCGCCCGCACCTACATACTACGAGTCGACCTCCATACTGCTTCCCGTCCCAAGCAATCGACGAAGACGAGCCACCTACTACATACCGACCCGACTAAATGCCGAGGGACTGCACATTGAATAATCCCTGCCATTGACGTCATATACATCCGTCGCATCTCGCTTGAAAGACTCTGCAGAGCCGTCTACGTGTACTACCGACGTTGGTTTTGCGAAGCTTCTGCACACAAGACTATCGAAGAAAGCCACTTCGAGTCCCATTCCTCTCTTCACCAGCTCTCTTCACCATGTGCGCAATCACAGAACGATCTGTCTGCGCTGGATCAAACGTTCATTCTTCGCAGTCTTCTCGTCGTAGCTGCCGATGCTTAGTCCTGCAACTCCTTTGCGTTTTGCCGGAACTTGCCCGTGCTCTGAGCTGCAGTTTTAGGTCAGGCGGTATATTACCGGAAATACCCTTTAAAGGGTTTCGTTTCTCTAAATGGTCGATCGACAAGCTACTTGATCGACCTACGATCCTTGAATTCTTGCCACTACTCCCGCGCGGTCAGGCCTCGGCGGAGCACGAGCTGACCAATCGCTCTGGGCTGCATTTTGACAAGGCGCAAAAGAGACAAGTGCTATGTCGCCAAGCTACTATCGAACGCGATGGTCAACGTTTCGGTTCCTTCGCCCGAATGCAACGAACGCGGCTTCGTCCAACCGCTCGCGACCGGAGTTTGCCCTTGCGTGCATCTCGAGCCTCCATCCCAGCTGGGCTTGCCCATTGGCGATTGCAGAAAAATGCAGCTCATTTCCATACATTGAACTATGAAATTGCGTCATTTTATAGGGTTTTCACCATATTTCAAAGGAACTGGACGATTGTATGTGATACAAAAACAGACACGCTGGACGCGTTCGACAAGCTTTCCGGTGCAGCAGCTGGCGCTGCGATACCGCGCGGAGCGAGTTCATTTCGCCTTCGTCGCCGCCCATGCAGCTCGTCCCAGTTCTACTGGCCGCCATGGCCGCGTCCGCGCTGAGTGCACCATGCGCCGTCGAGACGCTCGACCGCATTGAGGCGCAGCTCCTGGCCTTTCCGACGCTCAAGGCGTGCGACGCCCCGACGCCGGGCTGGAGCTTCTACGCGTTCTACACCGAGGACAATGCGTTCCCAACGTCAGCGCAGACGTCGATCTTCGAGTCGTATCCGGCCTGCCAGACCGTGTACAAGGCGTTCCAAGACGTCGTGTCGGGCACGCCGGCGTGCGACTTTTACCCGAACGAGCCGCTGCAAAAGCTGGCGACCTTCCCGCAGTTTCGCGATCTCGTGAGCTACATGCAGAGCCACGAAGCGCGCGCGGGCGAGACGACGACGCTCGCGCCGCCGACCCACAGCAGCAGCAACAACAACAATAACACCAACGACAGTAGCAACGACAACAACAACAGCAGCAGCAACGCGACGCCGGCACCGCCGCTTGCTCGCTGCAACGTCGCCGACGTGGGCTCAATCACAGCGCAGATCAAGGCGATTCCGCAGGCCGCGCAGTGCGCGAACGTGACCAAGTTTGACTTTGACGCATTTTTTGCGCAGACCAACGTCTTTCCGAGCGCGAGCCAAGTCGCGCTCTTCCAGTCGACGCCGGCCTGCGATGTGCTTTTGTCGGACGTCAAGATCATCTTGCGCCAAGGCCTCAACTGCAACTTTTATGAAAACGTGTCGCTCCAGAAGATGGCGACCGTGACAAACCTCCAGGACCTCGTCTCGCTCGAAATGGTTCACGACCACCCCGGTGCTCAAGTGGCGACGACGGCGACGCCAACGGCGACGTCGGATGGCACAACGACCAAGTCGACCAGCGAAAGCGACGTTGCCGCTTCCGGCGTCTCGGCAGTCGGTGCTGTCGCGATTGCGGCCGCCGCCATCTTGGTCGTCGCCGGCGCGGCGTGGGCCATCCGCCGCAAGCGCCAGCAAGACACCAAGGGCGACGACACGCAGCAGTCGATCTACGTTGTCAACGCCCACTCGGCACTTTAACGCTGTAATAACGACTATGTAGCACTTTTGCTAATGCTAAACGAGTGAGATTACACTTGCATTTGACTTGCAATTGCACGTGGGCTGAAGACAGAGACAGGCGCCGCCGCGTTGGTAACAACGGCGTCCAGGCAAGACGACGGTGTCCTCTTCCTCGAACACCGACGCCTCCGACAACTACCGCGTCACGCTTGAGCCATGCTGAAGCTGCGATTCGCCCACGACAGCACGCGAGCCAACGTCGACTGAACCAGAGTCGTCATTTGGTTTCTGTCCTCTCTCTTCTCTTGACCAACGTCAACACCGCTACTCAACCGCCAGCACCGTCAAGCCTTGGATCTTCCCAACGCTTGTCCACTTGACCAGTTACGAAAATGACAAACGAACCATTGATAGCGAGCCACGGGATACCTCGCCGGT